GTGGTACCTTTCCCAGTTGCATTATCAGTAAACTAGGGCAAACCTGCTTACCCCTTCCTCTGGCCAGACACATTTCCTGCTGCATCCCGTGCACCAGATGGGATGAGGAAGCAGCCCCATGGTGAGTCAGTTCAGCTCACCAGTCCAAGTTCTCATCCAGCAAAACTAACTGACCAAAAGCAACAAAAAACAACAGGTAGTTCTGTACTGGTCAGCAGGCTGAACCCAGCTCAACTTGCCACAACATTATCATTAGAGTCGGTGTGAAGGACAGGGTGGGAGATGCATCCCACAGTTATACCAAATTAGGTATAAGATGAAACCACATTCTTGTGTAACCCACACAACAGCCAGACCACGGAGCTTCGCTTGTTGGCTCTTCCTTAAAAGAAACAAAACCACCCACACGCTACATGGGTAATGATAAAGCAACCATTTCTAGACACCTTTAAAATATGACTTCCCTCATCTTACAGAAGGAAAGCTAGACTATTTCAGCAAATTAGAGAGCAGAGTCATTGTCCAAACCAGGGTTAGAAGTCACAGCGCTTTTCGTGTTCACATGCATGCTCACTCTCCTAGAGGAAATCTGTGTAATATTTACTTTTAGATTTGGTTAAAGAGCAACAGTTGCAATTGTCACAGCATTTGTTAGTTATTTACCTACTAGTTGCTGGTCATAAAAATCAAACAGCTTGGCTGTAAAAAATACAATCCTCCCTCCCCCAGCATTCTCTGCTTGTGTCCCAGTTACTATAACCAAGGTTTACAAATGCATCTTCTGCCACATCCTAAAGGTCACCAAATTTAGGCCCTGGCAGGCAGCCCAAGGGACCACATGCCAGAGCTGAGAGCTTTCTCCCCTGAATTCCCTGCAACACACCCAGGAGAGGAGGTCACCGCAGCGGGAGGGCAACCGGCCATTCCAGCCAGCCGCAACTTCCACAACAGGGCATGCAGGGAGAAGCAGCTTCTAAAATAGCCACCAAACGCTTACAAGTAATTACCAGCTATTTAAGCCATGCCCAAAGGCAGATGGAAGGCAGCACAGAGCACAGAAATAAACAGCTCGAAAGCATCAGCCTGTTCCACTTCACAGGCAGGGCACTGCTGCAGGAACGCCCCTTAATAGTAACAAGGGCTGCAGCAGTCCTGATGGAGAAGAGGGGCCTTGGAAGAGGAGCAGTGCTCCTGCAAGAATAACAGACTCCAGGATGGCAGGCAGACATGCAGCCAAGTCAGAGATACAGCATAACCCCAAGATTGGAAACTACAGAAAGGACTTGTGCCCCCAGAGGGTGGAAAACCATCTGGTTCATGGACATTTCAAGATGCTCCGGGTCATCACCACCCTGGCCTTACCTGGAACTATTTTAAAGCTACTAGCCTAGAGGTACAGATTCAGAAGACATAAACATTTAAGGTCTATAAAGGGCAAGTTAAATAGCTCTGAAAAAACTGTTGCGTAGTTGATCTTAGGACTCTTCGACAGCTCTGCATCTAGGTCTTCCAGCTGAAAGAAGCCCAAATCCAAGCTTCCTGCCATTTAGAAGGGCTACTCTGTTCTGCTTACCCAGACAGGCACTTAGCAAGATTTGAAGATTTACACCCACAGCCAAAGCCAGAGACTTTCCATTCTGCCAGCCTCCTCTTCCCACTTCATCTGCTTCCCATCATCATCACACTACATAAGAGATGCTGACACAGGTACTAAGATGGGACTGCTTCCAACAGTCATCCATGCCAGACATCTGATAGTTCACCAATAGTATCCTACAAAATATCCTAAAATCCAGATGGCAGAAGAATTTTAGCAGGCTACCTTTAGTAACTTTTCTAAAATGAGGAATCGGTGTAGCAGTTTGAGCTCCTATGTGATGAAACCCTTCTCCAGAATAGGAGAAACCAGACAGCATCATTTTGTGCATGCTGGGATTCAAAATGCTGAGATGAGGAAACCACAAAAATCTGAGCTTCCATAATTAAGCAAGAAAGGCCTGAATTATTGTAATGATCCAGAAGTATTTTGCTGTAGCTGTGATGAACAGAGTTCATAGGCAGGCCAAGGTTTGTAGACAGAGGCAATATCTTTTATTAGACCAACTGGTATGGCTGGAAAAAATAGACAAGCTACTCAGCACACAAGCTTTTCTATGTTTTCAACTCCATCGGTTGCTCTAATAAAAGGAATTACCTCTACCTACAGGCTTTGCCCTGATTAAAATGTATTAAAATCTTTCTTTAAATGTTCATACAGCATAAAAGCAAAAAATCTTATGTTGAAGTTTTATATTACATGAACTCAAAGGCACTCTTAGTGCTTAGCAGGCTCCTTTGGCACTGTGACAACAACTTACTGCTCTAAAATAACAGTAACAACTGACAAAAGATATTGTGATAGATATTCCTTACCCAAAAGTCTTATACAGAAGGTCTCATGAACTTCAATGACATTTTTCTTATGCTTCAAAGGTATAAAAATCAGCCTGCCTGCATGGTAGAGACACAAGACCTGATCCCTGAATACAAATTCCTTCTTCCAAATAGAGAGACTAAAATAAGAGGGCTGCATCACTCCATACACTTGTTAGCCACTGGAATAAACATTTAAGAGAGCAGGCAGCCAGCCATACAAGATTCTCAACTCAGAGCAACTGAAATACGATGCATCTTTCTTTAGTTACAAATCTATTTATGAAATCAATAACCTGTAAATAGCTTCACATAAAAATAGAAATCTTTACATAGATAAAGCATGTCAGAACACCTCATCATAATTTATTGCAAACATGCTCCCTGCTAGTGCAGTCTTAATTAAGCATCTGATAGCATTTATGGTACAGTGTTCATTTTGAAAGAGTATTTAAAATCTCAACTCCAAAGCTCAGAAATAGAGCTACCACCCAGCATGCATGCCTTGGTCCAAAATAACATTAGTTTATTAGCACATATTTTGAAATCAATCCATTTACTTCTTTTTTTTTCTTTCAGATTTTGGTTGATTTCAAGTATTATCCATAGTGTATATTTTTCAAGTCCTCATACACACAAAATTACATGTCCAGAAGCACTCCTCTTTAAGTTTTACTACTATTTTTCTTATCTCTTTTGGCCAACAAATAGTTAAGAAATGTCTGTATCAGAGAATCCTTTGATGTGTTCAGGTTAAATGCACTGCCTGCACTTTTTTTCTGAGTTTGTTTTAATATTTTGATGATGCAATGCCAAATCAGAGGTACACACGCCAAAACGTAGAGATGAACAAAATAGCAGTGACACTCCCGCTTTTTCCAGGATATTCTCTGAGAGCTTATGTAGCAGAAAACAAAAGCACCACTAACCAATCCCAAGGTCTAAACGTACTCACACAACTACATTTGCTTCTTCTCGCATGTTCTGCTTCAAGAATCATTAATACCTTGTCAGTACGACCCACACATGTACGTGCACAGTGAAAAGAGAACAGAGAGAAAAATTATCACACCTAATGTTAGCTACTTAGCTTTGTGTCTAGCCAGAGGCGGTGGGTGTACAGACAAGTCTCATGGTGCCCCTGCCAGGGAAAGCATCAAACATAGCTCCTCCATCTCAAGGGGCTTCTCAGCAAGGGACAAGTGAAACATGCTAAAATACTGAGAAGGGGAAAGGACAAAGGGAGCAGGATTAGTGTTG